GTTTCTGAACTAGGGCAGAAAACAGAGCCTGAATCAGAGCCAGAACCACAGCCACAAGTAGATGTACAGACACCAGCTCCAGTTTCTGGTGCCCAGCCACAATTTAATCAACAGTCAAACAGTCCACTTCAATTTAGTCCACAATTAAACTCACAACCACAGTTTATTCAGCAGTCAGATCAGCCACAACAAATTCTACAAGCACAGCATCAGCCCCAATTCAGTAATGTTCCCCAGGGAAACGAACAACACTACCAACCTAACAATCAATATAACCCATTCTCTATCAGTGGGTTTAGACCTTGGCGCAGAACACACTCATCTCCCTCAGTTTTCAATGGCTACTTACCTCCAGTTGGTCACTCTCCAGCTGCTGCAGAGTCTAACCAAGAGAGTCATGTACTTCCAGAGGTTGAAAATCCAGACCTGAAATCAGGGAGAAGCCCTTTCCTTCCGGGTATTTCCACGGTTGACTCTTCTCCTGGACTGTTCAGTGAATCATAAGCTCAGGCTTTGATTGGGAGATGCAGAAGAAAATTCTGAAAATTCAGCCAAGTTGTAGTAACAAAGCTCCTAAATTATATAGAAGGAAGAACAAATAACTGCTTGCAAGGAAATATTTGTGTTGGTGACGGGACTCAATTTAAGTTTATTCTAGGTATATTGGTGCATAATGCAGATAAACCAGAACTATGTTGGAGGGCATTAACATATTAGAAAGCTATTATCTTCCATCTCCATAAACAAGTCATTAATTTTCTTTTCACTCTTATTGAAATCTATGTTGATGATTACAGAAGTTCTATTTGATGAATTTAATGTTATTGCTGTTTTCTGTAGTTGATCACTTTTCTCCTTAAAAGTGCATGGCATGAGAGAAGGCAGTGGTACTCTTAAACTTAATTCTTTCAAGATCTAATCCTTCCAGAAACTGTAATTTATTTCAGCATCTTAGTGCTATTATTATGACTATAGGCTATTGAAAACTATCTACTAAATAATACACAGGCAAATTTATGATGCCTAGGCATTATATATTGTATTGTTTTATTATGTTACCCACACACACATGCATATGCAAATGCACATGCACATGCACAAGCACACCTACACACATGGACATGCACGCACTGACAGACACACACACATACACACACACACACATACATACATACACACATACATACATACATACACACACATACATACACACACATACATACATACACACACATACATGCACACACACATGCACACACACATGCACACACACACGCACCCACACACTGACACACACACACACACACTGATACACACGCACACGCACATGCACACACACACACCTATATATATATATATATATATATATATATATATATATATATATATATATATATATATATATATATATATATATATATATACATACACATACACATATATATATACACACGTACCTATATATACATATACATATATGTATATACGCTAAATTTATGCACTGGTAAGTATTCATTGAATTTTAAAATGAGGTTAATCTGTGTATGGATGATTGGGTTGGTGTGGTCTTATCTCTGTAGTAGATAGTAGATGACTTTTTCGTGTTCTTTTTAGAAGAAATCTGTTCTCTGTTTAGAAAGGATTTTGGAACTTTACTTCCTCATTGACAAGATGAACTGCCTACTATTTCTTCCATCATTCCACAATCAGGATCTTGACGTTTCCAGTTTGTGTAAGTAACAAAAAGTCTAGGGCATCCCTCCCTACTTACATGCACATGCACACAAACACGTATGTACACTTTCACCTTGGTTAAGGGATCGGAGATAGATTTAGTATTGGAAATAGAGACTGGGCATTCTCGTTCATGTGATTAAAGCTGAAAATGTTGTTAAATAAAATTGTTTTTTATCTCTCTTTCTCTCATGATATTTTTGTTTTTATGTTATGTTCAGTTTTTGAGTGGTGCATTGGTATAGTTGTTGATATAAGGACTAAAGTATTAATAATTCCTATAAGACTTTTAAGTAAAAGGAGTTATGTTGTTAACTCCTAGTATTTTTGTTAGCTCCACACAAATGCGATGTAATAAGTTTCAAAATTGTATCTGTCTAGTATCCTTCACACACACATAGCCAGTGTTGATAATAAACAGGTGCAAATAATGATTTTATTTAGTTCCCTTTCATTTAAATCATTTCATAAATCTTGAGCACCTGTCCTATTTTTCTGTAAACTGCCCAACAGTTCTAGACGTTCCTGGATCTCCCTTTCCATTTTTGAATATCTTCTTTTCTTGTAGCTATCATATTTCAGGGGACAAACATACAAATCAGACATTTGACACTCACACTAAAATTCATGAAGAAAACTTTTCCACATTGATAAACCCACAGCATCATTAGCTTAGCCCTTTCAATATGGGAACACCCATAGGTTGAACCTATCAGTGCCTTTTGCAAGAGATCATCCATAAGTGGTTTTTGACCTGAAGCCAGAATATCAGCATAGTGGAGAATCTTATGATGAAAATACCTTTGTTCTGGTTTCTCCTTTTGAGGTGTTGGACCACTAACTTCCTCTGGGCCAATTGTAAATCCTAAGATCATTTTCATGAGTAACCATGTTGAAAGGGTTAATCAGCCATTCACTTGCATAGATGCAAAGTTTTTTGTGCTTTTGCTACAACAGGACAATTTTTGTCATAAAAAAACTATTAAACTATAATTTTAGTAGACTAGTTTAGTACATCAATAAATGACAAGAAAACAAACAAAAAAAAAAACAGACAGAACACTAGTGTATCACTTACTGACATAAGAACAAAAAATAAGATAATACGAAAAAGACTAGATGACATAGCTAAAAAACACCATTAGACTCTAAAGAAAAAAACAAACAAACTTAGAGATGTTTACCTGCTGGTGATGCATTGAGGTTTCTGTCACCGAGGAATGGTGGAAGGTGATGGATGGTGTTCAGTGGAGGTAAGTTGATTTTGTTGCTTGTCTTTTCTTGGCAAGACATTGTGGGGAGGCCATCGCCTTGGGATCTGGTCAGGTGTGTGATTGTGTGTGTGTGTGTGTGTTAAATATGTGTAGGCCTGTGATCTTGAGTTTACTTAGCAGTTTATTTCAGATTTGTATGAGAAGAGGAAGGATGTTGGAGGGTGTTAAAAGTGACTGAGATATTTGTGCATTAATAAATTTATTGATATAGGAAGAGATGATTACATGATACATTATACATTACTAGTTTCTTACATACTGTAGGATGAAAATGAGGCACATATTACCATTCCTAGAATTTTATGATATTCATTTTATAGCCACCTAGCAAATACATTTGCTCATGTAAGAACAGATATAAAAGTTCCACAAATATCTTTTCTTTTTCTCATATATGCCTTTTCTCCTGGCAGAGGTCTCCGAAGCCACTAGAGAAGAGAATGTGACTGGGTTAGCTGGCCATAATGGTGCTATCAAGTGAGTGAAACTGCCCTCTTTAGCTGCTCTTTCTACCAGATGCGGAATAGAAACTTTTAGTGTTTTTTTATGGAAATCTATTTCTAGATTTTCTCTAAATATTAATTTATACAATATACTTATACATCTGCTGGAAAAAACCTGTTATCACTAGGTTAAAGGTTGTACACTTTGTGACCTACTTGACTGGTCCATCCAGGCATATATAATCTTTTTGATAGTATTCTTGTTTCTGAAGGTTACAAATATCCGTTTTAGTTCTTTTCACACTCTAGATTCTCCCCTTTGAGCACTGTAGGTCGGCACTTTGCGCAAGCAGCAGCATATACTTATTTTTTATATGTATCTTGAGGTATTACTCATTTACTTGTTCATTCTGACTAGCATCTTAAAAGGAAAGGTAATCATTACCATTATCCCAACAGATTCCTTGAAGACCACAAGCTCTGGATCATCTTGGGCGTTGTTGGTGCACTGCTCTTGCTCACCATCATCCAGGCTACAATCACCATCCATAAAATCAAGAAAAACAGAAGCCCACCTGTGAGTACCAAGGTGAGGTTAGCGCAGGGAATAAAGGGGCTTAAAAAGGAATTAGGGCTTTACTTTCTTCATTCAGTAACTTTAGTATGAGGAGATGTGCATGTGCAGGGTATTATGTACCACTCTGGGGATCCTAAAGCAGCATTGCATCAGGTGATGTGTATTATACATAAGTAAGAGCATGTGGTTATTGGATACAACTACTAAAAAAAAATAAAAAAATCCATATTTATAGTTGTGAATATCAGTTACTAACTTGCATGAAGACTGAGGATAGAACCAGATTATATACTGGTATACTTATATTTCATTCCAGGGTGTAGAGTTATTAGTGAGGTTTTCTCTTACTTTAACCATTTCCTTTCTTTTTCTAATATCACTTACTGGCACACTGTCTCTTGGTGTCCAATGGGGGTTTGGTACCTTGTAGGTGTGGCCTTCTCCTGAAGCTGGGGTCATAACACCAGTTGGAGCAGGAAATGGAGCCATGCCAGGTGGATCACCGACTGGAAGCCAAGTGGGGCTGGTGGCTGCTGTTGTGGAGCCTCCACCTGCATCCCCTACCTATCCGAAAAGTGGATTGCAGTCGTCGGTCACAATCCCCAACAATTCCATGCCACCTAGCCCTGTCAAGACAGGGACTCCACTTAACACAGAAAACCCGGGTTATGTGCCTGATTAATTGCAATCCAGGTCACCATCTATTAATAACTGCACTTAAGTATAGGTATGGTGGTGGACTAATATACAGCATGCACATGAGCTTTTATAAAGAAATCATCCCAGAGATATAGATTTTTGGGTATTTGTTTATGAATTACAAAGTTATAGATTGGCATGAGCCTTAGCAGGGCAAGAGAGTTTTGTTGTGCATTTTTTGGTTTCCTACCTTTTTGATTAGGCTGAAGGTCAGCCACATTAGTTTGTATTTTTTTCTCCTTCTCTTTCTTTCTATTTTTTTATTTGTTTGTTTGTATGTTTGTAGAATGATAATTAGAACATGCTTTTTTTTAAGACCTCTCATTCATAGAAAAGGAACTGTGTTTCTGAAATTTAAAAAATTCCATTGAATTTTTTAATTATAATATCTAAAAGAGACAAAAAGATCATGTTTTAGGGGTCTTTAAAAAGAAAACCACATTCTTGTCTATGATTTATTGCTTATTTTGATGCTCTTTCCAAATTTTTTTCTTTCTTTTTCTTTTCTTTTCTTTTCTTTTCTTTTCTTTTCTTTGTTTTTTTCTCTTTTTTTTTCTTTTTCTTTTTCTTTTTACAACATCTTTGTTTGTAGCTAATTTTGCACATTTTTTTCCCATGATTTACCTATGAGACATTCTTAACACCAAAAGAATGCTGTTTGATGTGTTTGAATAAGACATTAGGCATGCAGGATATTAGAATAAGAATCCTGACCCCTTCTCAAAAAAAAAACATAAGATTGACATGACGATGAGGTCAGAGATGGGGTGAAATAGTCATTGCTTGTATGGTATGCATGTATTTTGTGTATATGGTTATGTATACATATGTACATATATACATTTGGTACATGTGTACATATGTGTAAGTGATTGTACTTTTGCATACATGGATCTACTTGTCAAAGTAGAATATTCTGTCTGCATTAAAGAAAAGCACAGTACAAACCGTGAAATATACTGACTATTCTAAGCTCGAAAATCCCATCTTGGCCATTTTTTATCTTGCCAAGAAATCAGAGAAATACTTCCTCCTTGATTGGCAGGGAGGAATGTTCAGTTAGCAGTGTTGATGTGTAGGCTGGACTAGTTATTTGCATTTTTGTAGGAGAGTTTTGCACTAAAATTGGAGGAAACAGCTGAGTTAACATTTGACATTAAACTAAAAGTTTGTCATTTGTGATACAGTTGCCTTCAACATATATATAAATGGAGAAGAATAATACCATTAAAGCTAAACTATCCATGCAGATGAAAAATTAAAATTGTTATATAATTCTGAATCTGTTGAATTTTCCTTACATTTTGTATAAGACTTTTTAGCATTTATCAATTGTACTACTGCTTTAGGTTTTGTGGTGACTCTTTTCTCTAATTTTACCAACAATGCTGAATACAGTATTTATCTGCATATTTTCCACTTCCACTGCTTAAACCATTACTATTCATGTCAGTCATAGAGTTGGTGATTACCATCCCTGGCCCTCCTTGTGCTGCATAATAACAGACAAAAATGTTTCAAAAAACAGTATTTTTGGTTATTTAAGATATAGGAACTTTAAGTGACTCTAAACTTTCTCTAGCAAATGCTGTATATCCTAGACTACAGTATATGCTGCATGTCACAGATATTGCACTAATTAGATTTTATTTGGAACATTTGCAGTATAGTTGTATGTTGTATAGCAGCAATTATCACATCAATTATACAAAAGTATAGTTTTTTAAACTATAAGATTGTGATGTCTCCGTTTAAAACAATCATTTTAATGCATTCCACAGGAGCGTCTCATCACCAACTCAGGATGGAAGGACTACAGTCAGGGCAACATGAACTATGCATATGACAGCTTTGAGACAGAGGAAAATGGTGTCAACTCCCGGCGTCAGGGAGCCAATGGGTCCCTCCGTCCCAGTGCCCCACGGGGCACCTATGAACGCTCCAATGGCCACAGCAATGGCTATATGGGGGGCCCCAACGGCCATCCCGGGCACCATCCTGGTGGTTATGGAGGGGATACACGCTCCCTTCAGCGCCCCAGGAATGCACCTCAGAGCAGGCCAGATCCAAGAGGCACTTATTCCCTCCCACGAGGATCAACCACATCATCTCTGCCCTCATACAACACCGCCATGCAAGACATGACCCCTGACTTCTACTACCTTCCCTCTCAGCGCAAGTACTCTGGTGAGGTTGTCCGCGTGTATGTAGATTACAACCAGTCCAAATAAGGCTATTAATGCTTGACCTATTGATAGGTCATGTTGATTGCGATTTTTTGGGGAGATTATTTGGTTCATGGCCGATTAGTGAAACTGGTTCTTAATTTGTTTTTAATTCCTTTTTATAATTTTATTTGCATATTTAGGAGAATGTGTACTTATATTGAGTGATTAACATTTTAAAAAGTGGTTTGTGATGCTTAATGCCACATTGCATTATGTTACAAGTAGAAACTGGTTGGTGTTTTACAATTGAGATTTTAGCTACCTGGATTATATGAAAAGTGCACACAATATTTTGTAGAAATTTTCCAGCTCTCCCAGTAATGCAGTAGGGTGAGAAAATGTTCAAGTATATTCTTGTTCTGTGCTGAATATTCCTTATACTGCTAAGGTTTTACCTGTATACTCGGTGTAAAATATAAAAAGTGATTTATATTGCTTGATTAAAAGGGCAAATGAATATTCTACTTTTCTCTCTCAAAAGAAGAGAAAATTCAATAGTTAGTTTTCCAGCCATAGTAATATGTTTATATTTGTAAATATATACTAGGAATGTCAGCAGTTAGTGTTGATTGGATTGCATATCGTTTTTCTTGATGGCTATATGAACAGACTTTTAAATTTATAATGGATAAATACTCCAATTTTTTTTTTTTTTTATAGTCTTTCTAAAAAAAATAAATGATTTAATGATAAAATATGCTTTACATCTTTTGCATGTATGTTATGTATAAACACATGCTATCTCTTCGTATTTTCACATTTAGGGAAATAATGATATACTGTGTATATATATAGCCTTGCCTGTTATCATTTTACAACTGAAAATGGTTGAAATTGCTCAAATTAGGGACTTTGCAATATGTGGGAAAAAGTTTTTATTTTTGCACAATAATGGCAGTTTTACAAACAAAATATGTCAGACAAGAAATAGTTATGACTCTTGGTGGTCATCTGAAGACAAGAATGTTTGTGATGAAAAGAAAAAAAAAATCATAGTCTGTACAACATATCAGAAGTGAGAACATGTACTTTTTTCTTGTTAAAAGTGATTTGATCTTTACAGCACAGTAGTAAGGAAACCATCACACTGTTTTTTTTTTCTTGTATGTGCCATTTTTGTGATATACATTACAGCATAATCACTTACCCTAATGGTTTGAATTTCAATTTTTGTAAACTACAAAGTGTATATAGGCTCAGTGATATAAATCTAATAGAACTTTAGCATGTTCACTGTATATATATTTTATAACAGTAAGGTGAACTTGTAGCTAAGAGAAATGGAAATGAAAAATGAGGAAAAACTTTTGTTACGTGTCTGTTGTAAACAATGACTCAGTTATTTTTTGAAAGTTTAGATAGTTAAAAAAAAGTTCACCTTGCAGTTACTCTAACGAGGGCCAATCTTTCAAAATGTACCCATTATTTCATATTTATTACGTCATTTTTAGCAAGTGTTAACAGCTTAGAAGTGGACCAGTGTGTGAGTAGACATACGTGTGTAAAGGTTGTGATATGTGATTTAAGCAGTCGTCGTTGATGTGTCGTGTGCATCAGCTTCATTTATTTTTTTATTTTGTTGTATTGTATGTTCGTAGGTCAGATGAATCCCTTTTTTCACTGTCTTTGGTGACGTGATGACTTACCTGAGATGGTTCATTTGGTTTTTAAAGATTGTCAGCATTTGTTCTTTTATTTTTTATTATTATTTATTTTACTTTTTTACTTTGATGTTCATTTTTGTTCTTATTTTTGTTGAGTGCACATATTTTTTGTAAGAGTACTATTAGGAAGTTTTGTGATGCGAGATGCAGATGTACCAGTATGTTGTGAATGCAAGATTTACAAAATATATATATTTGTATGAAAATGTCTTCAGTATATGGATATATACATACAATTCTCCGGATGGATGGATGGATCAAAGGATGGACAGATAGCTTTGCAAATAGAACACTAGTATTTTTGTGCTCTGTGTTTGTCTTTGTAATTCAGTTTCTTTTGTCACAACTTGTAACGAAAATGATCCAGGTGATAATGAAGGCCAGTTGTGCAATGTCGTTCAAGGATAATTTAAGTATTTACCGACTGATGTCCACGGAAAGAATTGTCTGAACACCGGAAAGGAATGCCACAGGTATTTTGGAGCAGGGAGGTTGAGTGTGTAAGAACCATGATATTGAATAGGCCTCTTTCTGAGATCTTGTTGTATGATCTCTTTTATATGACTATTGATTTTTTTTGTAATCATTTCTATATTTAGAGTCTTCATTTACCTCAGGTTATTTTGACAGTAATCTGTGTTTATATATATATATATATATATATATATATATATATATATATATATATATATATATATATATATATATATATATATATATATATATAATGTGAATAATTTGTATGTATGTATGTATGCCTGAGTATTCATGCTATATTTTCACCATGATTGCATTATATTGTATGTAATGTGTCAATAAATGTAAGATTAGTAAGCTGTTTATGACTCCATACCTTTTTAAAATGTAGTTGCTCTAGGAAATCATTAATCGATCCCTCACATCCATTAGGGACTTACCAAGGATGTTTACTGTGTAATTATTTATTTATTTATCTATGTAAATTAGTGTTAAAGGCAAAAAATATTTGCGGCTCACTGTGCTAATGTAATGGCAGAAGGCAAGCAAGGGTCACCTTGTTTCCTTTGATTTTTCTGAATGAGAAAAGAATTTGTCTTGAGTGGGATGAACTTTAGTACCAAAAAGATGCATTTGAAATTATGCATGATCAGGTGAGGATATAGTGAGGCAGAACAAGCTGTAACAATATTCCCTCCAAACGTCAAAAAATCATTGGGATGTTTTCAAGTCTCATTATATAGGCTGTAAGTTCAAGAAATGCAATTAATTAGGGGGGGGGGGGGGTAACTATTTAGAGTAGACAAGCAATTGTTTAGTGCACTGATGTACCACCACATCTGCTTATCTTATAATTAATGGCTTGTAGTTTTAGAGGTTAAGGTATAAGAAAGGCAAATGCTATAGATAGAAAAATGGAGGAACTGATGATTGTAAAGGAACTGTGGAAAAGTATACCATGTATATCAAGGAATGTAACCCTTTCTCTTTCACAGACTCTATTTAACCACCAAATTTGGTAAACCCCCAGAGATATTTGTTAAATGAACTAAATATCCTCCTGAATTTTATCTTCATTATCTAATTCATTTTACTATTCCTCTGAGCTTTGTTCTGCTTTCTGAAATACATTTGAATAGGTATGAGTTCAATAAACTAAGATATATTCTTTAAAGTGGGTAAGCCTTTCCATAACATTTTTTGGTGAGCTTTTAACTGACTATAGATAAGGTGGACAAGCAATGTTAGCCTTGTTATAGTTCTACAATGATATTACACTTAATGGCTCACTGGTCTAGTAGGCTATGGTACATGAACATGGATCTGGTGTTGTGAATGATAGGACCCCAACTGTTCCTAGCAAAGAAGGGGAGGTGGTGACCTAGAGAATCTGCAGGTTGAAGCTACTAATTTCCAGAAGTCTACATTATTATAATTATCATTATAAGTCTTATGTTATTACCTGGAATGCAATATTGACTGTTTTTCATTTTATTTCTATTAGATTTGGTGGTAGTATATTTTTGTATTTTCACACTGATGACCTCATCAAAGAAATCCCCTAAAAAGATTGGCAAACTATTAAGTGACTATGTCCACAGGCTCATTTAAAAAATGGATAACTGATGCCACTTTTAGAGCTTGTCAGAGTTTTAGAGCTGCTGGCATGAGATTTCAGTCTACTTGAACTAAATGAACTTAAATGTTAATTATTTGATATTTGTACTGATAGCAAGCCTGCAAGTCAAGCACTGATGTAGATAACAAAAGGCCAGTTTGATTGATTCCCTTTGTGCCTGAACCTCAATAGATACTTTATTAAACACCCATGTTGCACGTTTTGATGAGCCATGTAGTCACAAGTAGTGCTTTAATGTGTCCTTCACATACAAATAAATAACACCCAGAACATAAACACAACATACTTCCAGTTCTTTAAAACAGATGGCTGGACTACAGAACTGCTTTAAATTTTGTCCCAAGAAACAGCAGGTCTTTTACTTGTTTAACGGAGACTTTTTTAAAAGGCAGATCAGTTTGTTTTCTACAGTGGCATCCCCCAAGTCAATTATGTTATGAAGCCCACACAGTTAATTATATTCAACAATACATTATACTCAAAATCAAGAGCAGCCGGAAGATAAAAGCCAGCTATTACAAGACAAGCTAGTATTCTTCGGGTTCAATGAGAGAAAATGGAGACACCATAGGGTATGAACCATGGGCACTCCCTGATCAAATGCCCGTCGCTTACCCCGGTGAAGTTGTAGAGCTCAAGGTCTATATGTAAACCTGGGTAGACAGTTCTAAATACGACGTGTGCGTGGGGGCGTGTTTTTCTTTTTTTCTATTTATTCATTCATTTATCTTTTTATTGTGTGCGTGTGTGTGTGTGTGTGTTTATGTTTGTGTGTTGGTGCATGTTTGTGTGTGTTTGTGTGTATGTGTATGCGTGTGTGTGTGTGTGTTTGTGTGTGTGTGTGTGTGTGTGTGTGTGTGTGTGTGTGTGTGTGTGTGTGTGTGTGTGTGTGTGTGTGTGTGTGTGTGTGTGTGTGTGTGTGTGTGTGTGAGTGTGAGTGTGAGTGTGTGTGTGAATGAGAGAGAGAGAGAGAGAGAGAGAGAGAGAGAGAGAGAGAGAGAGAGAGAGAGAGAGAGAGAGAGAGAGAGAGAGAGACAGAGAGAGAAGGAGAAGAAAAAGAGAAAGAGAAAGAGAGAAGAGAGAGAGAGGTAGCGAGAGAGAGGAATAGTGAAAAAAGAGAGGAGACAGACTGACAGATAGACAAAAATACAGGCAGAAAGACAAACAAATAGACAGAGAGATAGAGAGGGAAAGAGCCAAATTGAACTATATAGAGAGAAAGGGGGATAAGGTGTATGACCATATAAGGATAAGTCCGATATGCGAAGCTGAGCCTCGCCCGGGCTATGGGGGAGCCCGGCCTGTGCCGACTAATGTCGACTCGCTAACAGTGTGTCAGCAGGTGCTGACTCGGGTGAGCTTAGTCCTTACCCACCGTGGTGCCCAGCCACAGCAGTGACCTCCAAGCGACAATTGCAACTTCTCGCGCCTGGGCGGGGCGCGAACCGCCGACCCCTCGGATGAGAGGCCGACACGTTACCACTTATGACCACAGTCGAGATTTCGTTGTGGCGTTATCTAATTACTGCACCGGAGTTTGTCCGTCCGGTGGAAACTCCGGTGCAGTTGTCAGATGCGACATTTTAATTCATTTTGTTTATTTGAAAAATAACTGGGATAGTCTGTTTTCTGTTATATCTTTTGTTTACCAAAAAGTATAACATCCATTCTGATTATTTGCAGTATTCCAAGTTTTCCAATTTCGCTTTTAGAGAACAATCGCATAATGTTAATTAACTAAATCTTCTTAAACTTTACATCATTCTCTTTAATTTTGTTTTATCTCTTATCTGTACTTATTGCTTTACATCCTTTGCTGGTTGTCTTTGCTGCAGTGTTTTCTCGGCGAGTCTGTGTGTCAGGAGTGTCTGTAATGCTGTGTCAGATGTGCCTCTGCGTCCATTGTAAACATCTTTTTCGACGGTGTCAAATCGTGTCAAATCGTGTCAAATCGTGTCCTGAATATTGTAAAATGTGACAATTTTTGAGATGAGGAGTTCTAACATCTCATGCTTTGTGAGGCACGTTTAAGGCCACAGTTGCACAATGCCCCGTCCGAGATGACGAGGCGAGACGATTCCTATCTGACAAAGACTCTGTTGCTCGTCCTGACCGCCCTTGTGTCGTCTTCCTCTACAGAAAACGACGTTGCTCCCCACAACCCGCTCTCCTTCTGTAATCAGAGGAATCTCTCCTGTAGCGTTCCCATATCTTCACAGGAAAAGGGTCTAAGCACGAAATATGAGGCGCACCTGACAACGACAGAAACGAATACGTTGGCACCTGAGCCTTCCTCGCCGCAAAGCCCGTCTAGAAACGCCACCTCGGGAGTTCCCGGAGTCCGGTTCTGCGGCGTCCCCGATGATACGGACATTTTCAACAGGACGCGGGGCGAACGAGTTAAACGGTACAACGCGCATGGGAGAAAATGGAGCAAAAAGACCCTCACATGGACGCTACGGAAGTCCAGCAAGCGGGCTGATCTTCCTGAAGGGGTCATCAGACAGGAGCTGACTGCGGCCATGCGCATCTGGGAGCGCGAATCGACCCTTGTCTTCCAGGAGGTCCACAAAGACACCAAAGGCGTGGATATCATCGTCACCTTCGAGACAGGAGACCACGGTGACGGCTACAAGTTCGACGGTCAGGGCGGCACCCTCGCGCACGCCTTTTATCCCGGGGGAGGCATCGGGGGGGACATGCACTTCGACGACACCGAAAACTTCGTGACGCATCTCGAGGCCAAAAAGTACGTGTCCAACAGCCTGCTTGTGACGGCGGCGCATGAGCTCGGTCACTCGCTAGGGCTGCTCCACTCCGATGATTCCAGTGCCCTCATGGCGCCCTATTATCAGGAGTTTCCTGCGGATTTCCGCCTCCCGGACGACGACAAGTACGGCATCCAAGCTCTGTACGGAAGACCCAGATCCTCCTACCCGTCTACCACTGAGCATCACTTCGGGCCATCTACCAGGCCGCCGTACATACCATCGACGCGGCCTTCTACGCGACCGCCCACACGCCCTTCCACACGCCCACCGTATAAGCCTCCCACACGCCCTCCTACGCGGCCGCCGTACAAGCCTTCCATACGTCCCACACGCCCGCCCCCGAGGCCTACCCTCCCGCCCCCAACAAGGCCTCCGGCGCGACCTCCTACGACCCCGTCAACGCCCCCACCGACCACCCCAGAGCCTCCATCTCAACCCTGTCCAATCGACCCACCAACTTCCGGAGTGCCTGACACGTGCGCCACCGAGTACGACACTGCAACCGTGTACCGCGGCGACCTTTATTTCTTCAAAGACAAATACTACTGGCGTGTGGACCGAAGGGGACAGCCGTCCAGAAGAGAGTTTCCTTATGAGATCAAATATCGCTTCTACGGCCTGCCTCGTGACGTCGACCACATCGACGGCGTTTACGAAGACCGCCAAGACAACCTGGTTTTCTTCAGCGGTCCGAATTTCTTCGTGCTTGACTACTTTTTCCGCTTGAGAAAGAGAGGCATTCTAGGGGACCTCGGAGTGAACGCCACGCACATCGACGCAGTGATGGTCTGGGGGCACAACGGCCGCACTTACCTCTTCAGCGGCAACAATTACTGGCGACTCGACCGCCGGGGAATGGCCGAGATGGACTACCCGCGCGATATCAACGTGTGGCGAGGTCTCCCCCATAACATATCTGCGGCCTTCACTTTTCGCTCAGTTACCTACTTCATTGCAGGCCGCGTCTACTGGGAGTTCGACAACATAGCCATGAGGGCCATAAGATCCCCTTACCTGACGGCCTCATACTGGCTCAGCTGCCCCTACTACGACCTGTCACAGGCCACCCGCTGCTCCAGCCGCTCGCCGACCCGACTTGCGCCGATGCCAGCTGTCACCGCCACGCTCGCTCTCCTGCCCGCTGCTCTGCAATGGCCCCGAGGAGGTTATGTGTAATTCAGACATTAAAAATAAATCGTACTTTGATATCTCGTGATTTCATATACCTGTCATTTAAGAAAAGGTAATGGAAAAGACGCACAACACAGTGATAATAATGGAAATGGTAATGACAATAATTAACACAAATATAGTTTTAATGATAATTGCAAAAAAAACGTAGAAAGTAATAAAGTTTGCAATAACTGAATAGGAAACAACAAATATAGAAATGATCATGCTAATTACGATAAAAAACATTATAACTAGGAGAGATGATGATAACGCTGATAATTAAGACACTCATAATGGAAATAGCAATAACATGGTGATAAT